TACTCTCATGCTGTTTGAGTTGTTTGCTGTAGAAAGAGCTGGGACACCTGTGCTTGAGTTCTGAGACAGACACTGTAAATTCATGAAGAAGAAGATAATAACAACAACACACATTATAACTGCTGACTGACTACTGAGTGGGGTCTGTATATCAGGCACTTTCTCTTTTATTTCTCATAAAGTGTTTCACTTAGTCATTTGAACAATTCTTCTCCATTTTAGAGATGATGAGAGGTCACATAGCTAGTCAGGGGCAAAACTGGGTTTGAACTAAGATATCTCCAATTATAACCATAGATCTTAACCACTGTGATGTACTGAGTTCAAGAAGAATAACACTTGATTTTACAGTTCAACACATGCATTCACATTTTGGGTCATTTGATTTTCAAGGAGTCGTCTCTCATTCCCATTGATTCTTTTATTATTATTTCATAGTATTACAGGAGTACAAATGCCTTTGGTAACATGTATCAATTTTGTTGTGCTTGAGTCAGGATTATAAGAATGATTATCACCTGGACAGTGTTCATTATACCCATTAGGTAAGTTTTCACCCATCCTGTCCTCCACCCTCACCCCCACTTGATTTCTGTTGAATTCTACTTCCCTCTGTGCACGTATCTGCTGATTGGTTAGCTCCAATTTAATAGCAAGGATATGTGGTGTTTATTTTCCATTATTTAAATACTTAACTTAGGATAATGGTCTCTATTCCATTCAAATTGTTGCAAAAGGCCTTAACCATCCTTCTTCTTAGCTGCACAGTATTCCATAGCATACATTATACACCACATTTTGTTAATCTACTCATGGATTGATGGATATTTGGGTTGATTCCTTATTTTTGCAATTGTAAATTGTGCTGCAATAAACGTTCAAGTTAGGTGTCCTTTTGATAAAATTATTTCTTTACCTTTCGGTAGTGGAATTGCTGGATCAAATGGTAGGTCTACTTCTAGTTCTTTGAGGAATCTCCATAGTATTTTCCATAGAGGTTGTCCTAATTCTCAGTCCTATCAAAAGTATATAAGTATTCCTTTGTCTCTGCATCCATGCCAGCATCTATTACTTTTGGACTTTTTAATAAAAGCCACTCTAACTGGAGTAAGAGGATATCTCATGATTTTAATTTGCATTTTCCAACAAATTAGTGATGTTGAGCATCTTTTTCATATGTTCATTCACCGTTTGTCTGTCTTCTTTTGAAAAGCTTCTATTCATATCTTCTGTCCTTTTTAAATGGGTTTTATTTTTTCTTGCTGATTTGTATGAATTCTTTGTAGATTCTTGTTAGTAGCCTTTTATCAGATGCAGAGTATGTGAAAATTTTCTCCCATTCTGCAGGTTGTCTATTTGCTCCATTGATTATTTCTTTAGGTGTGCAGATGCTTTTTAAATTAATCAAGTCCTATTTATTTATTTTTGTTGTAACCATATTTGACTTTGGGGTCTTAGTTGTATCTTCACCTAGGCTGATATCTAGAAGAGTTTTTCCAACATATTCTTCCAGAATTCTGAGTTTCATCCCTTACCTTTAAATCTTTATCCATCTTAAATTAATATTTGTGAATGGTAAGAGAGATTAATCTTTTTTCATTCTTCCACATGTGGCTATCCAATTTTCCCAGTACCATTTATAGAATAGGGTTTCTTTTCCCCAATGTATATTGTTGCCTGCTTTGTCAAAGATAAAGCTGTATGTGGATGGTTTTATATATGGATTCTCTGTTCTGTTCCATAGGTCTGTGTCTCTATTTTTGTGGCAATCCTATATGCTATTTTGGTTATGATAGCCATCTAGTATAATTTGAAGTCTGGTAATGTGATGATACCTCCAGATTTTTTCTTTTTCCTTTGGCTATTGCTACTCTGGCTCTTTTCTGGTTCTAAATGAAACATAGACTTATTTTTTCTAGTTCTGTGACATATAACCTTGGTATTTTGATGGGGATTGCACTGAATATGTAAATCATTTTGGGCAGTATGGACATGTTAACACTGTTGATTCTAGAGATCCATGAGCATGGTATGTCTTTCCTCTATTTTGTGTTGTCTGTGATTTCTTTCCTCAGTGCTTTGTAGCTTTCTTTATAGTTTTCACCTTCTTGGTTAAGTGTATTCAGTATATTTCTAGATATTTTATTTTCTTTGTAGCTACTATGAATGATATGGAGTCCTTAATTTGACTCCCAGCTTGACTGTTATTAGTGTATAGGAATGCTACTGATTTGTGTACATAGATTTTGTAACCTGATCTTTTGCTGAATTTATTTATTACAGGAGTATCTTGGTGGAGTCTTTGAGATTTTCTAGATAAAAGATCATATCATCAACAAAAAGTGATAGCTTGACCTCTTTTTCCCAGATTGGACACACTTTATTTCTTTTTCTTGCCTGGCTGTTTTGGTGTTCTGTCTAGGACATTTCAGCATGATGTTGAACAGAAGTGGTGGCAATAGGCATACTTATCTTATTCCAATTCTTAGTAGAATGCTTTAAACATTTCTGAATTTGGGCGGTGCCTGTGGCTCAGTGGGTAGGGTGCTGGC